AGTAGATGAGGATACAAAAAACCCCCTAAAACACGTTCATGAAAAAGAACAGCAGCAGATTGAGATCTTTGGAGAAGCTTAATGAAGGATGCCAAAGCCCGACTTGGGCTATAGTGCCATTGGATGGATGGATGTTAATTTCTTCGTTGTCTATTGGTATTATCTGAGCAGATTAGAGTTTTAAAAGGGGAATTAAAAACAGTCATAATTTTGACTGAAATAGGATCTTCTTATAAAAGTCCTCGTTAGACATTGATGTTTTGTTGATGATATGGTTCTTAATCATAGTTGTTGTGTATTTGGATATTGTAAATAATATTGGTTCAACAAGGACTTCCTCCACGTACGTTTCAAATGGCTGTACAAGGTGTTGGAGAATATTTTGTATATTGTGTTTAGAAGAGTTATAGCTCTATGATTTTACATTCCACAAATCTCCTTTTTTGTGCAGTGGACATATGATTCCAGTGCACCATTCCTCTGACATTTGTTCTTTTTCCCAGACATTGAGACTTTTAAGGCGTATGATTGCATCTCTCACTTCCAATATTAAAGGAGGTGCTACGTGGGTGTTATTGTTTTGGCTTTAGCTTGACGCATCATTTTCCACTTCGGTACCAAGTAATTTTTTGAAGTATACTGCGTCACTGGTACTAACCACATGTTCATTTGTGTTCCTATACATCGTTAATCGTAGTTTGAACTCTTTTTTTGTTTCGTTCATGTAAACATTCGAGTTTTATTTTTTCCTTTTGGTAATTAAAGCTCTTGCATAATCTGGTTTTTTCTTAAAGATCCCATTTTTTTTTCGATGCACGCGATTTTCCTTCTTTCTGAGTTCTTTTTACGTTTACTCCTTATTCCATTTTCGAACATGAACTTTATTAAGCGTGTCCTTTAAATTAGAGGTTGTCTATCTATCTATCTAATTAGCCTTTTTCGGTCCATCTTTGGACATAGGCCTCCCCAATCCTTTTCCATTCTTCTCTGTCTGTCGCTACAGTCATCCACCTAGAGCCCACATGTTTCTTGATATCATCTGTCCATCTCATTTGGGGCCTCTCTCTGCTTCGTTTATATTCCCACGTTCTCCAACTTATAAGAATTTTGTTCCATCGGTCTTCTTTTGTCTTATATTGTGTCCGGCAAATCTCCATTTCAATTTTGCAACTTCTTGTCTAACATCCCTCCCTTTTGTTTTCAGTCTTATCCACTCGTTTCTCTTTTTATCCATTAGTCTTATGTGCAACATTTGTCTTTCCATTGCTCTTTGGGTTTTTATGATTTTGTCCATGTTTGCTTTTGTAAATGTCCACGTTTGGGAACTATAAGTAAGAACAGGAAGTACGCATTGATTGTATACTTTGGTCTTAAGATGCTGTGGATTTTTTTTGTTTTTAAGAATGCAGAGGATGTATCTATGTATGTAGAGGTTAATTTAAATTAGAAGTTGTATCAAAATACAAATATAAAAAGTATATAGTGTATATCAGAGAAAAATGGCTATAGGAGAACAATATCATATTCCTCGAAATTTCGAAAGTTCTAGGTTTATTAAGAATTAACATGTTTATTTGTTTAGAAAATGAAGTACAATAGAACAGTAAGACTATTATTCTAATGAAACGATTAGAAATTGACTAAATACAAATTTTGCTAGTCCATTACAAGTAACTTTGAACAAATAAAGAAGCAGAACTAGCTTCAAAAAAGCAACAGGTACCTTCACATTTATAATTATTACACATTTTAACATGAAAAGCAGAGCCGAAGACTCTGTATTGTTCAAAGATTTGGAAAGGCTATTGTTTGACAATAATCTAAAGCTCTAAAATATAAGCGTATAGAATAGATAAAGGGATATTCAAATAAATATCAGATTGCCACCGCTCAAAGGAGCCAATATAAAAAGATGATACAGTATGCTAACAGATGATAAGTAGACTAGCTCGAAGCTTCATACTATGTTTTTTGTATTTATAAAATTCAAATATTATTTTTAAAATTGAATTAAGTAATTTTATTATTTATATATTTTAAACAAATTATATTAAAACATTTCAATCAATTATGTTTGCTCCTAACGCCACCTGTCGATGTATTAACAAAGCAAACGTCGTTCACTTCTGACAGACCTGTCAAATTCAGACGAAATATTAAATTAATAATAAAATATAAATAAATATTATTTGATAGTAAATTTATTTATTATATAACTGAAATAAGATGTTTAAAAATAATAATTATATTCATATGAAATTATTTTAAAACCAGAAGTGTCTACGATTGAAACGATTCAATATTCTTATTAAATGGATGAAATTCATGAATTTTAAATTTTGACATTCGTTGCGGATCAATTTTTTTATTAACAATAGTAAATCGATGTAAAGAACAGTTATTTCGTGACGATACCCGTGACGACTCCATCTTGTGGCGCTAGTTTCGTGACGCTTGCTCAGCATTTTACTATAGAAAAAAAGATAATACAACCCGAGTATAAGGGCCCAGCAATATGCCCAATCTCTTACATAAATACCGCAAAATGTTTTGATTATTAAGTAAATAATCAAAACATATTACAGATAATTTAAAAATGCAGGGTCATATCCCGAAATTACCGCACTATTACCCTTTCGACAGTCCATGAACGTCTGAAGTCTCACATATAATTAAAAACTTTCTCTAGAGAGCACACCCACACCTACACGGCCGTGCTGTATCTCACCGCCTGTTGCATCATTACTGGGCATTAATTTTGTTTTCTACAAACAATTGAATTGCGAATATCGTGAATAAATATGACGATGGGTCGATTAATTATATAAAAAAAGACAAACGGTAACGCACAAGATAAAACCGATGAGGTGGCCGGTTCCTAGACGTGGGATAATTGTGACTCCTCTAATGACTAGATGAAATTTATTATTTATGATTTGCCATTATCATCCTGAAAAATCTTTTAAAATTAAAAAGAGAAAAATGCTTACAATGTAGGCTTAATTAAAGGAATGTATCGTTCAGAACATTTTAGCATGTTGGGTGTCAATTATATAGAACTGGGTACTAATAATGTTACATTAAACAATATTTTTATCCTCTTTGAATTAACTTTTATGCGGGGTTGCCTAATTTACCACCTTCTCTATTTATCTCTGCTTTATAATTTATATTAGGTATATGTCATATCTTTATTTTGATTCTACAGTTCCAGTAGTTCATCTAGTAGATCGTCCAAACAAATCGATTAGATGATTAGAAGAACACATTATATCACCGGTGTACAAAAGCTCCACAATAGCTCAAGTACTCTTAATATTTAACTAAGCAGTAGCACACCTAGAATTTTCCTGGGTTTGGTAGGGTACCGAAAATTTTCAATGCTATGCATATTTTTTATGCATTTTGAGTCCTTAAAATTTGTAATAGTGTAGAAATAGTGCCCTGGGGGGAAGGGTTAAATTCCAAAACTCCCCTGGGTGCGCCACTGTAATTAGGAGTACTTGAGCTATTATAGAGCTTGTGTACTACATATATTGAGCATCTGGCTGAGTATACATGCACTGCTATCTCTATCTATATAAGGATTTTTATAGCTGTCGCCGCCTTCCTTCTTTCAGCCAACGTCTCCATTCCTTTCTGTTCTACCATTCTCCATTTCTAAGGTCTCGTCTTTCCATGGTCTCGTCCACTTCATCCCTCCATGATCTTCGAGGTCCACCTCTTTTCCTCCTTCTTATTGGGTTCCAATCCGAAATATTTGCTATCCACCTTGTATGATCTGTTCTTCTCACATGTCTCACATGAAAGTTTGAACTATGAATCACCAACCACTATATAGTAATTCTTGTACCGGAATGTAAGTAGTATTTTGTTTATTTCTAATGTATCACAATTTAACAGACTTTTTATCTTAACAAGCTGTGGGTTGTTACTCTGTCTGCAAACGCAATTTATGTATATTAATTAACACAGACATGTAATATTGGCATAATTACTAAAACTTTTTTGATCTATAATTTTTTATCTATATCCTTATAAGACAGCACCCTAATATGGGCCTTTTATAATTTCAGCATTTAATTTACTTTGTACCAGCGACCTGATGATGCTTTGCAAATTTTAGAACGCGAAACCGGTCGTCTGAGGTAGTAAAATTAAATTGATTGTGAGTAAGTCTAATTATTTCTTTTTTACCTTATTGTATAAATAAGTATTTAATTGAAATATTTTCCTGCAAAATTTTTCGATACAGTTTTAAGACGGTCAAAGTAAGAGTGAAATAAGTATTTGGCGTAGAATGTTGTGTAGATATGCACCAATTTTTTTTATATTCCTTATCCATATATCGCAGGAAATCAAAAAGGCAATCAATGTATAAAGAAAAACTGAAGGTTTATTAAAATGGTGAAGACAAAAAATAAAACATTTCTGAAAATGTAAAGTATAATAAAAGTCATGAATGTGTTGCTTGTGTGAGTCCATATCAAATAGGTAAAGAAATAATAATAAGACTTACTCACAATCAATTTAATTTAACAATCTGACGACCGGATTCGCTTTCTACAATTTGCAAAGCATCCTCAGTTTAACTTTGTATCTGGACCTGAGGATGCTTTGCAAATTGTAGAAAGCGAAACCGGTCGTCAGATTGTTAAATTAAATTGATTATAAGTCTTATTATTATTTCTTTACCTATTTTATATAATAAAAGTGTATTATCTAAGAGAATGTCATTCTTGCGAAATCTGAGCTACTGGACTGCAATACGTTAGCCTATTTTATACAGTAATCGATAAATATAAATTACCGTGATAATCAAGAATGTCCTTAGAATATAACCTACAAGCAGAAGATCAATTTTCCATATTGAAAAACACATATGACCTTTATAGAATGACACAGCAATAATGATCATATTTTAATGCATGCAAAGTTAAATTTAAAAATCCCATTGTTTCAAGTAATTGTCTTTCTAATAGCAATTAAATTCTTTGCAGGTTCTACCACACCGGATTCTCCTCTGCTGCCTTATTACTACGCAATACTATTACATCTTAAAATAATCGTGATTTGAGGTGATTCCGATTGATCAACCGCCTAATAATAAAACAAACACAAAAATTACAAATAGTGAGAGTAAGAAACCACTTACGTGTTCACATCCTAGTTAACTCATCGTTTCTGGGATAAAGATTGAGATTATCAGATTATTATCGTTCAGTAAACAGGTTATAAAGATAAAACGCCAAGATGTTTGCCATTATGCAGATTGACAACGACGTCAGCGGAGGTCAGTTCAGGAGAAAAATGAGGTCCAAGTGCGAGTTTGTCTGCAAGTATTGTCAAAGGAGGTTTACGAAACCGTACAACCTCATGATTCACGAAAGGACGCACAAGAGTCCAGAGGTGACGTTCAGTTGCGAAATTTGCGGGAAGAGTTTTAAACGGCAGGACAACCTCAAACAACACAGGTAAGTCAGAACTTTCTTTTTTTGACAATTTTTTTTTAATATGTTTATTGGTTTTTAAAGGATAATTTAAAATATGCAACAATTTACGAAAACTATCTGTCTGCGTTAAATATTCAAATTAATCGTCTCGATGTATATATTATTGACAACAAAACATTTTATTTGCATTTTCTGCAAGCATAAAATGTTTTAATATTCACAGTTTACACCTATAAATGTGTCATTGATTGTTTTATAAATTTACAATTTTACTTTTTCTTCTCTTAAATGTTTCATTAGACAAGTTGGCGGCTTTTATATTTTTTGTCAACAAAGGTTAACTTTTGTTACCTTATTTACGTTTTCTTACCGTTATGATTTATTTCAAACTAATTTACGAATTGATTCTTTGTTATTCTATCAACATAATTAGTTTCACACAATTTATATTTATAACTAATTTTCCTCTGCTCTCCATCTTCTTTTATGACTAATATTCTCGTCTATTTTGCTTATTATCTGTTTTGAAATCCTGTGCTTGCAGCTTTTTTGTTTTCATAGTTTTCTCTTTCCGTCAACATCTTTACTATTTGGCTTCCTATTTTTGTTCACCGATATTTCAACATTAAATCATTTACATATTTTTTTGTATTATTTCTTTTTATGTTTTCTTTTGTCTTTGAATCTTTTTTTTTTCATTCAGCCGCGCACACGAGATTTTTTTTATTTCTAGCCTTGCTTGCCAGGTTTTTCTTCTTTCCACTTTATTATTCGTTTTGATATTCGGTCTTCACGTATTCGATATGAATTATTTCTGGTTTATATCCTCAATAACAATTAATATTCGAAATATTTTCCAGCATTCGTTTTATATATTTATAAAATCTAATCTTCAAAAAAGTCCATCTTTGGTGCTAGTAATTTATTTTCTGTTGTTGATAAATAATGTTGTTAATAAAATAAAACCAAAAAGGCAGTTTATTTTATCATATTTTCAGTATTCTTTAATGTTGATTTTAGTATTTTAATTTTATTTTAAATTAGTTGGTTTCCTGCTTCTATCATCTTTAAATTTTGCCTTTATTCAAGAAGAAATCAGTTGTTTATACTTTCTACCGTTGTGGATGTTATAAAAAATTTTTTTAGTGTATCTTCGGTGTTTATTTTTAGGTTTTTACTTTAGCTTCTTATACATATAACAGGTTTCCCAAAATTAATGAAAGATTTAAATTAATTAAAAACACTTTTTTTAAATATTGTATTTTTTCTTATTGAACAATAATGATCATTTATAAATATACATAAAATACATAGGATATGATTATATATGGAAAAGCACATCAAGCAAATAGCCGCCACGGCGTTGCTAGCACATACGCGCTATTTTGTCAAAATTTTTCATAACTATTCTGCATAAACATGGCTTAATTTCATTGATGCAGCGTTCAATTTCCTCCTTCAATGAACGGGTGGCCGTAGGCCTGTTGGCATAGATCTTTGACTTCAAATAACCGCATAAAAAGAGATCTAATGGTGTTAAATCAACGATCTAAGTGGCCAATTCTGATAAAATACACGAGAGATTACACGGACAGGAAATATCTCATGTAGTAATTCAATTGTTTGGTGGGCTGGGGGACCTATATCATCTATTTCAGTAGCAGGAACTCTCTTATCATGTTGCGATATCAACTACCAGTAACAGTCACTGCTTGTCTAGCCTCATTTTCAAAGAAGTAGGGTCTTATGGTGCTTCCAGTCCAAAATCCGCACCAAACAGCGATACGTTGTAGATGCATTTTTTTTTTTCGACTGTTACATGTGGGTTTTCAGACAATTTTGACTAATAAGAAAGCCATCAAGATGAAAATGTGCTTCATCGCTTAGAATGATTTTGCTCGAAAAATCATCATCTTGTTTATGTTCAATAGTCCATTCAAAGAAATCTCTTCGCTGAATTTTGTAAGTATGCAAATGCAGATCTTTAGTGAGTATACGCTGTAGAGAACTTCTTGAAATTTGTCCATGACGCCGAATTGATGCGTTTGGACTTTCACCAACACTCCACTCACTGCTTCGAAATTGACATTTGAGCGGCTTGTTTTTGAACGACCAGTGTATTTAGTGTATTTAGTGTGATCAATTGATCCAGTCTCCTGGAATTTTTTAATTATTCTCTTCACAGTTACCGAATTTGAATCAATATTGTAATCATTTTTTGTAAAAAATTTTCCGAACTGCGACACCCAAACATTTATTATTTTTAATATATTGTTTAATAATGAAAACTCGTTGCTCTCATGTAACGCTCCATTTTTACTAACCCTAAACTGTAAGCTGTGAAATTGTTTCTGTTTTGGTGTTGTTAATACTTTACTTCTCGAATTGCGGCAAATTCAAATCTTTCGTGCATTTTTGGAGACTTATTATCAACGTTAACTGTTTGTTCACATTTGATATAATATTTTATTCATTTTTAATTATATTATCTATCCGTAAATCTAAAATTGAATAAGCCACCATAATAGAAGGTAATAATAACAAATATCATATGGATTAAAACGAAAATCAAATACAGTAAGATAAAGAGTCAGAAGATAACAAATTAACTTCAGTCAGAAAGCATCATCTTTTAGGTGCCAACTCTGCAGAGAAGGTCGGCATCATCATAGACATCATAGACTTAAGAACCGGCTACTCTCAAAATGTCATTTGATGTACATCAATACCATTCTCTGAAGTTGCACAACCAGGATATTCTACGTTACCCCACACTTTTTTCTTTGGATCTTTCCCTGCATAATCAGTTGGAACAAGGTGTATCTCTCTTCACGTGTAATGTGTTCGAGATATTAAAAGGTTCTTGTTTCGACGGTATTTAAAATTTTCATTTCTTTTTCATCCTTCTCAGAACATCTTGTTTGTGGCATGTTTTGTCCACCATATTTTCGGTGTTCTTCTATAAACCACAACTCGAATGATTCGAGTTTTTTCATTGATGTCGCATTTAAGGTCTAAGCTTCCAGTTCATAAAACAAAGTTGAGAAAGCACAGCTCATAGCCAACCCAACTTTTAGCTCCAAATTTAAATCTCTTGTGCAGAGCACTGTTCTCATTTTATTAAAGTTTGTCATAGCCTTTTTAATCCTGCTTTTAATTTCATGGAAATATTCGTTTACTGAGTTGATAATTTGCATTGCGTTTATTAGAAAATTCTTGTCATTATTCTAAGTTTTTAATATTTTATAAATCTCGTCTTTTTCACGTTCATTGTTAGACCGCATTCTTCTCCATACTCTGCTGTACTGGTTAGCTGTCTGTATGAAGATCTTCAATCTTTTTTGCTATGGTGACAGTGTCATCTGCATATAAAATATTGTTAATGATAATTCCAATCACCTTCATACCAGCTGTTTCACTCTCAAGAGCATGTTTCAGAATGTCTTCCGAGTGGGCATTAATAAGGATTGGCGATAATACGCATCCCTGTCACACCCCACCTCTAATTTTAACTTCCTTTGACAGCTATTCATTAAAGCGTACATTTACTCGGTGTTTATAATCTAAAATTTGATATAATCCTAAGGTTATTAGAGAAGCATAACACTGATAATATAAATACAGAAAGAGAAGCAATCAATTTTCAAGAACTATTCTTTGTTTCAAGTTAAGAAAATAACATTACGCTTATGGAGATCAGTGTTGCCAAAACTCTCAGACACTCTCTTTTGCACGGATGTCCAAGATATTCCCTTTGCTTAATTTTTGAATTTTCATTTTCAATTAACATTTAACTGTAAAGTCAGAATAACTACTAAATAAAAGCCTTATTATCATTATGTAGTCAGATAACGACATAAAATAGCTGACATACGCACATCGTATTATTTTAAGTTGCAATTAGTAATTAGATATACGCATTCCAAGTGGTCAATATTTTCTACTGATTTCTATGATTCATGGCATATCGTATTCTCACCGAAAAACAAATAAACTGTTGTTACTATAATTAAAATAAGATAAAATAAAATTATCTTTTGTAAATACTATTTATCTAATTAAAATCATTTTCCCTACTTTTCATCTCTTGTTTCGAATGGGCACTTTTGGTCAATTACGTTAAAAAACATTAATTTAATTCATGTTTGTGGAAACAAAAATACAAATTATACAACCCTAAATTGTGCTTGTGTGTGTCGTGGCAACGCCGCGTTGCTATCGTCCATAAGAAATACATGGCCCTATCTCCGCAATGTTATTTTCTAAACGTGGAACGTAGTATAGACAAGTTTGCAAGATGTATCTTAAAAAAAAATAGGAAGATCTCAAAAAAAAAGAAAATAATGAAGATCTAAGTTAACGAAAGAAATACTATATCTTGGAAAATTGGAAAAACAAAGTAAGGAACAGAACAGAATGGCGGAAAATCCGCCATTCTGTTCGTAACGAAGCTGTACGTTCTGTATCGTAACGAAGCTGTAATTGAAATTAAAAAGTTCCATAAAAACTGAATGAATCTGTTATGTCTAATGTACATAGATATAAAAATGTGGAATATAGGGTAGATGTCCTTCCAAAAACAACGGTTGCAAGATTGAATGTTTGTGTAAAATAAATGAAGAATAGAAAAACACCGCTTGCAGATCTAATAACCTGTGATTTTTTGCAAATTCCAATTGAAAAAGTCAAGTTCAACTAACATGTGCTACCTTTGGTCATTTTATTCTTCTTCTTAACGTGCCCTATTAAGTCCCCTTGACGTTGGCGATTAACATGGCGAAACTGTCTCTGTCTCGAGCTATACTAAATAGTTGCTCAGCTTTCTTTATTCCTGTCTACTTCCTGATATTCTTCAACCAAGAGGCCTGCTTTCTACCAATTCCTCTGCGTCCTTCGATTTTATTCATCATAATAAGTTGAAGAATATTATATCGGTGTCCCCTTACTACGTGTCCAAAATAGGCCATCTTTCTACATTTGATGTTATCAAGCAGCTCGCGAGCAGCATTTGCTCTCTCAAG